AGGGGGGGGAGAGAGGAGACGAGAGGGGGGATGAGAGCGTGCGCCGCAGACTCGGACCCTCAGCCGAGACAACAGAGAATAATGCGACTCTGGCCGACGAACGTAGCCGAAATTCGAGCCATGGCCACGGACTCGGGCCTCCAGACGCGGAAGCCACACGGTTAGAAGTAACGGTGGATACCTTCCGTTTCGGCCACGCTCGTAGGACAGCCCAAATGCTGTCTTACCGGCCACGCGTCCGGGACAGAATTTAACAAAATGGAATGGGAAGAAACTGGTGAAGGGAATTCGCAGGGAGGAGGGGGAGTTAACAAAGTTGCCCCGGCGACGACGACGGGGACGACGGCGACGACCGCAACCGCGACCACGACCGCGAGCACGATCGACAGAAGGCTGAAAGGGAAAAAGGGGAAGAAATAAGGAGAAGGATGAAAGGGCATGGACGTCGCTGTCCTAACAAAGTCCCCCCCACCTGGTCCGATCATGCACCGCTGGTAGAGCCCTCTCCTCCTACCACCTGTCATCCCGCTCCTCCAGAGTGACGCAGTCGCCAGAGGAGAAGGAGGACGAGGCAGATGAGGAGGAGGCGGAGGAGGCGGAGGAGGCGGAGGCGGAAGCGGGGCAGCAGCAGCCGGAGGCGGAGCAGGAGGAGCAGGGGCGGGGGCACGGGCATGGGCAGGGCAGGAGGCAAACGGAGGAGGAGGAAGAGGATGAGCATATGCAGTATGTCCAGAGGGGTTATTCTGAACACATGAGCAGATGGGAGGAAAGGGGCAGATGCGTATGGGCATACAAGTTCCCCTAACATATACGCACTGGTCGTCGCAAACGAGTATCATCACATGCGTTCGTCCTACGCACATGTGCCTCCGCCTCAAACGCACCTATGCCTCAACATCCCGTTTCTGCATGCCCTGAGATCTGACGTTGCGAAAAAATGCAACATTGAGAAACATCACGCCCGTAGCCCTCGACGCCATCTTTCTGTGTGATGTTTCGAACCGGGTCGATTTTCGAGGGTCCCCCCGGGGCCCCAAACCGGGCGAAAACGCCCGTTGTGGAAAAATTGCCGGGAAAAAATGCAAACGCCCGAGCGATGCCAAGCCTGTAAAGGCCGCCCAAATGGAGTCCGAGCACATGTGGTATGGGGATCGCGCAGCATCGCATATGCATCGGCGATGCGTCGGCGACGTCGGCGTGAAGAAAATCAGCCTCCACGTCAAGCCGCATCGCCGATGCATCGACGATGCGGCGCGATCCTCCGACCCAATCTCCTCGGACCCTGTTTGGTGGGCCTGGACTCTTCCTCCTGCAAGACCGAAAGAGCTGCGCGGGTCCAACGTCGTGGTGCTGTACCGCTCGGTCACCTGGCCGCAGGAATCGGACCATTTGGCCAGGATGTGGGCGAAAGATGCAACGTATCCAGCCAGGAAGCCGCAGGCCCGATGCATCAAGGACGGGGAGAAAAGGAGGGGAGGAGGAGGAGGAAGAGGAGGAGGAGGAGGAGGAGGAGGAGGAGGAGAAAGAGGAGGAGGGGAAGGAGGAGGAGGAGGAGGAGGAAGAGGGGGGGATGAGGAGGGGGTAAGAGGGTAAGGACGAGGAGGAGGGTGGGAGGGGGGGGCAGGGAGGGAGGGGGATGAGAATTGTCCCAGTGCGACCCTACCTAGGAGTTGGAGCATCTAGGAAAGAAACATCTACATCTACGCCGACAGCAACATTAACATCTACACCTGCATCTACATCTACATCAACATCAACAGCGAGACTCACGTATACATCTACAGCTACACCTACATCTACCCCTCCATCTACATCTACATATACATATACACCTACATCCACATCTACACCTGCACCTACATCTCCATCTACATATACAATGTCGCATTGGTTTCGATGTTGATGTGCATTGCCTTGCCTTCGCTTTTGATGTTGCTTTTGCGGTTGCTTGTGTTTTGCTTTTGTTTTCGTTTTAGCTTGATTTTGTTTTTGCGTTGCCTGCGCACAGACACACACACGCGCATGTTTTCGCACTCGCCCACCGAATGTGCTTGAGAATGCTCCGTATCCGGTCTACACCACACGACTTGGCATTGAGCAAGGTTGTGCAACACTTGCTACACCGAACGCCCCCACGAAATTGTACAGCAGCAGCAACTCCCAGATCGGTGCATCATCGGCGCTGGAATATGCAGTTTCACCAGAGTGGTTTGGCCCCAACCTCCTCGCTGTCGTGGAGTCGCTGGAGCCACTCTTGGCGCGCAGGGACTGTGTCGAATAACCAGTAGTACACATATCGCTAAGCTAATCTAAGCTAAGCTGAGCTAAGCTAATGTGGTAGCAGATGCTAGGCTGCTCTATGCTATGCTAGGCTAGACTGCGCTATGCTAGGCTGCGCTATGTAATGCTAGCCTATGTTATGCTAGGCCAAGCTAGCTATGCTAGGGTATGCTAGGCTGCGCTATGTTATGCTTGGCTGTGCTATGCTATGTTATGCTGCGCTATGCTATGCTATGCTATGCTGTGCCATGCTGCGCGATGCTATGCTATGCTATGATATGCTATGCTATGCTGCGCTGTGCTATGCTATGCTAGGCTATGCTATGATATGATACGCTGCGCAATGCTATGCTATAATATGATATGATATGCTGCGCGATGCTACGATATGATATGGTATGCTGCGTTATGATGTGCTATGTTATGTTATGTTGCGCTATGCTATGCTGTGCTATGCTATGCTAGGCTATGTTATGCGGTGCTATGAAACGCTGTGTTGCGCTGTGGTGTGCAAAGCTAAGCTGTGCTATGCTATGTTACGCTATGCTATGTTATGCAGCGCTATGCTATGCTATGATATGCTGTGCTGTGCTGCGCTATGCTATGCTGCGCTGTGCTATGATGTGTTATGATATGTTATGGTATGCTGTGGGTGATATGATATGCTATGCTATGATATGCTAATGCTGCGCTGCGCTAAGCTAAGCTAAGCTGAGCTGAACTAAGCTAAGCTAAGCTAAGCTAAGCATGGCTAAGGTAAGCTAAGCTAGGCTAAGCTAAGCTAAACTAAGCTAAGCTAAGCTAGGCTAGGCTTAGCTAAACTAAGCTAAGCTAAGCTAAGTTAAGCTAGGCTAAGCTAAGATGAGGTAAGCAACGCTAAGCTAAAGGGACGTAACTGGGGGAACCGCGGGGCGGATACTGGGGGAACCGCCTGGGGCGCTTTCCACTGCCCGGCCCCTTGAAGCCCAGAGAGTAAGAACCCTTCTAGGCAGAGCCTAGGTAGGGAATGAAGCTTGAACTACGAAGGGCGATGGTCGTGAAGGTGTTCCTGCAAGTTCGGGGGGGTGCGAGTTTTTGGGCAGGTCCTGGGCATTCTCGTGACATGGGGAAGACAGTGGAGGAGAAGGAGGAGGAGGACGAGGAGGAGGAGGACGAGGTGGAAGAGCAGGCGTAGTGCTGATGCCAAAGGGAAGACAGAAAAACGTAGATGAGTGGGAGCGGGGAGGAGGAGGAGGAGGAGGAGGAGGAATATGAGGATGACTATGAGGAGGAGGAGGAGGAGAAGGAGGAGGCGAAGGAGATGGAGAAGGAGGAGGAGGAGAGGAGGAGGCGAGGGGAGGGGAGGAGGGGGGATTGGGCAGGGGAGGGGAGGAAGGGGGAAGGAGGAGGGGCCAAAGGGGAGAAGGGGGAAGGGGGCATCTGAGAGCGGACAACCAAGCATGGTCTGAGATAGCGACGGCGACGGAGTAGGATGAACAGGCTGAGGAGGGCAGAGTAGAGGGAGGAGAAGGAGGATGGAAAAGAAGAGGACCCTCGCATCTGACTGAAAGTTATGTTTAATGGCTACTGGCTGCTTCCAGCCCCTGCCACCTGTTGCTTGCCTCTCGGAATGACAGATCGACAGTGGCGGGAGGAGAGACAACCCTAGGGACTGTCTTGCCACTCTTGGGTGGCGGCAACGTGTTAAACAGCTCAGCGCTGCGGTGTTCTTAGTGCTGGGAGTGGAGCGCGGGCATGGCTTATTGAAGCATGTGATGGTAGTTCGAATAGACATAGCATGGAGAACATATTGAAAGAGTGTGCCCATCCCGTTTATCCCAAATCTGCGACCTGACCAAAAAATAGGTTGTGTATTTCTCAGCGTCTCAGTGGGGCTTGAAGGCGGCCATGATCGCACGAGCGCGAAATCATTCGCACATACGAGAATGTAGAGGGGGGAGGAGGAGAACGGCGAGGGAGGAGGAGGAGGAGGAGGAAGAGAGGTGAGGAGGGGGCAGGAGGAAAAGGTACAGGAGGGACAGGGAGACGAGGACGACGGCCAAAAGGAGCAATGTAAGGAAGAGAAGGAGGGGCAGGAGTAGGAGGAGGAAGAGGAGGAGGAGCAGGAGGAGGGGCGAGGGGGGGAGGTGTGGATGAACAACGACGACGACGATGACGGCGATGACGATTGCGGCGGGCGGCGGCGGCGGCGGCGGCAGCGACGACGACGACGACGACGACGACGACGACGGCCGCCGCGTGCTCGCGCGCCTCCCGCAGCGTCCGCTCCCGGTCCGCAAGCTTCTCCTCCAGGGCGGTTATCGTGTCCGCCTCGCCCCACAGAGGTGGGATCGGGGGTCGAGGTCCGAGGTTCGAGGCGTTGAGGCTTCGAGGCGAGGAGGAGGAGGAGGAGGAGGAGGAGGAGGAGGAGGGGCAGGAGGAGGAGGAGGAGGAGGAGGAGGGGGCGGCGGTGGATAAGGAGGATCGAGGAATTAGATTCGACGCTCGAGGCTCCAAGTTTTGGGGGCTGTTGGTCCTTTGCGCGGGCTCTGGAAGCCTCCAGGGGGACTCGTGAAAGCTCCGCGTTACCACCCCCCACTCCCGCGCCCTTTCAATTACGATAGAAGTTGCACCAGTGGCGCTGGTACCCAGCTACACAAGAGCCGAACGCTGGAAACACGCGAGGCTACAATGCGTGTTCAGCTTTCGCCCCTGGCAGGCACATCGTGTGCATCCAGCTGCGTTGCTTGTGCTACTCATTGACAGCCCACAGGCGCATTCCTGGCTGGCCCCAGCAAGCCCGCATAACGCCTAGGGAGTCTGAAACCTCAAGCAAAGAGGTTTGCCCTCAATTCTGGTTCTGGAAGTTGTATGTCTCCACCCTGGAGTGTTTTGTTCCTCCATTTTGGATTGTGTTGAATGTGTGGGTGTGTGTGTGTGTGTTCAACCTCGCACCGCCTGGCTCTTCTGCCCTGTTGTCGCCTACGTGCGGTCTGCTAGATGTTTCAGGACTGCTACGCCGCTTCACAAGGGAGCCGATCTGTTTTGAGGGTGACCCCTCATCGTGAACCCGCTGGTTAGACTCACTTGCGCGTCAGAGGAAAAAGTGTGTGTGTGTGTGTTGAACCTCTGGGTAGTCCAGGGCAGTCCCAACATTCAGCGCCGCGTTCGAAGGCGCACATCTCTGAGCGCTCTGAGCCAGGGACTGAGGTGTTGAGACGCCCCGGACTGCCCGTTGAGCCTGCCGAGGGGATGAGTGGAGAGCATCTCCAACGGCAGCCTGTGCTCAGACCCACGTGAGCCCTGCAGACGGGAACAGAAATGCAGAGGCAGAGGCAGCGCCACAGAGAGAGGCACGCATCCCGTCTCCTGGGACTCCAAGCGGGAGCAGATCCCGTGGATTTTGCCTCCCTCCGTCCCCCCCAGCCCCACGTCGTTTCCTTGTCCCTTCCCTCGTACTTCCCCACCCCGCCGTCTCCCGTCTCCTCGGATGACCCCTCCTACCCCACTCCTCCCTCCACATCAATATCCTCCTTTTCTTCTCCGTTCCGCTCTCCATTCCCCTTTTCATCCCCCTCCCCCTCCCTCTACCTCTTCTCCGCCTCCTCCTCCTCCTCCTTCTCCTCCTCCTCCTCCTCCTCCTCCTCCTCCTCCTTCTGCTCCTCCTCCTCCCCGTCGTCCTCGTCCTCGTCATCGTCGTTGACATCATCATCAGCAGCATCAGCGTCATCATCAGCAGCAGCATCATCAGCATCATCAGCATCAGACTCATCAACATCACCATCATCTGCATCATCAGCATCATAATTCGCCGGCCCAACGGGCCAGAGGCGTGCTAAGATCTCCGGTAACTTGTTAACAATATTTCTAGTTCGCGCGCGCGGAGCGGCCCCTGGGGGCCCCCGGACGAAAAGTACCCCGGCAAGGTCCCGAGAGAAGCCCGGGAGAAGCCACCAGACCACTCCAGGGGAGGGTATTTTTCGACACCCCTCACGAGGATCGTGGCCTCCGAGGGGGGAGCCGCAATCGACTACCCCCAAGAGCCCCCCAAGAGGCCCTGGGGGCCTCCAAAACGCCGCCAAGGAGCCCCAAGAGACTCCCAAGAGGTCCCCAAGAGGCCCCCAAGAGGCCCTAAAGAGGGCTCCAGGGCCGGCGGCATGAGCGAAGCGATTAAATAATCATTAGCATCATCATCAGCATCAGCACCAGCATCAGCATCATCAGCATCAGCATCCTCATCAGCATAAGCATCAGCATCAGCAGCTGCATCCTCGTACGTCTCCTCAGCGTCCTCATCATCGTAATTATCAGCATTACCATGTTCATCATCATCATTAGCACCACCATCATCGTCATCACCACCATCACCACCACCAACAACAACAACATCGTCGTCATAAGCATTGTCGTCGGCATCGCCATCACCACCACGACCACCATCACCATCATGCACATCATCACCATCGCCATCAACATCAGCAGTATCATCAGCAACGTCATCGTCGTCATCAGCCCTATCATCAGCAGCAGAAACAACATCCCCCTCCCTCTCCCCTTCCTGCTCCGTCGTCCCCTCCGTGTTGTCATGGCTTTCTCCTCGTTCCTCACTATCACCATTATTATCATCCTCCGCCTCCCCCTCCCCCTCCTCCTCCTCCTCCTCTTCCTCCTCCTACTCCTCCTCCCCCTCATCATCATCCTCCTCCTCGTCCAGTTGGGCGAACGAACGTATATGTACATGTACGCCCTCGACGATTCCGCGTGAACGAGTCGCCGCGTTCAATCCCAGGTCAACGGACGCTAACCGCGTACGTGCACATATGTGTGTTGCATCTGACCTTACGCTCCTCAACATCATCAGCATCATCAGCATTAGTATCATCATCAGCAGCATCAGCAAACGATTGGCATCGCTATTGGCATCGCCATCGTCATCCTAGCCATCAGCCTCAGACCCATCATCATCACCATCATCAGCATTGCCACCAGCGGCAACATACGAATACTCATCATCAGCATCAACATCATTACCATCATCATCATCATCATCATCATCATCAGCATCATCATCAGCATCAGCATCCTCAGCCTAATCATGGCTGCCGTCATCGTAAGCATCAGCGGCAACATCCTTATCATCAACACCACCATCAGCATCATTAACAGCGTCATAATCGTCAGCATCATCATCATCAGCATCAGCATCAGCAGCAGCAGCATTGGCATCATCATCGGTCTCAGCCTCACCATCACCATCAACATCACCAACGTAATCATCAGCAGCAGCAGCATCATAGCCATCAGCATCACAATCAGCATCACCATCACCCGTTCATGACCATCATTAAGTTTTCATCATTCGGCTCCTCCTCAGCATCAACATCATCAGCATCATCGTCATCATCATCATCACCATCAGCAGCATCACCATCATCGTCATCAACATCACCATCATCATCCTTCCATCCTCGTCCTACTCCTCCTCCTGTTCCTTTATCCTCCCCTCCTCCTCTTCTACGCATACTCTCCCCGAGAACCGACAAGAACCACTGAATGCCAGGCAAGCCTTCCCACAACATGTGCAAGCCACCAAAAGCCGCAGGAACCCACCCGAAACGCGTCCAGAACTCGCGGGAAACTGCCGAGAACCTCCAGAAACCCCAGAAATTACCCAGGCGACACCCAACCCCTGCGCAATGCGAGGCAGGAGTAGCTTGGGAGATTTGGCGAGAAGGCGGCGACATGACATGGACGCATATACTTCTGCGAGCGGCATTCGGAAGGTTTGCAGGCCCTTACCCCTGAGTCACGAAGAAGGACGCAAGGTCCAAACGGAGACGGTGGGCAAGGGGCTTGAAACGTCGGCGGGCCAGCAACAACATGACATGGCCCCCCAAAGACGGCGAGGTCCCGCTCAAGTCTGCGCAGTGCCTCTCCCCGCTGGGCCCACCAGCAACACTCGAAAGTGGCAAGCCCACCAGCAGCCCTCGAAAGCGGCGACGGTTTCGCAGATCGCAGCCCCCCAGGGACGGGGAGGTCCCGCTCAGGTCCGCGCGGTGCCTCACTCCGCTGGACCCACCAGCAGCCCTCGAACATGGCGACAATTTCGCAGATCGCAGGCCCCCAGGGACGGGGAGGTCCCGCTCAGGTCCGCGCGGTGCCTCACTCCGCTGGACCCACCAGCAGCCCTCGAAAGTGGCGACAATTTCGCAGATCGCAGGCCCCCAGGAACGGGGAAGTCCCGCTCGGGTCCGCGCGGTGCCTCACTCCGCTGGACCCACCAGCAGCCCTCGAAAGTGGCGACAATTTCGCAGATCGCAGCCCCCCAGGGACGGGGAGGTCCGCTCAGGTCCGCGCGGTGCCTCACTCCGCTGGACCCACCAGCAGCCCTCGAAAGTGGCGACAATTTCGCAGATCGCAGGCCCCCTGCAGGGACGGGGAGGTCCCGCTCAGGCCCGCGCGGTGCCTCACCCCGCTGGACCCACCAGCATCCCTCGAACGTGGCGACAATTTCGCAGATCGCCTCACTCTGCTGGACCCACCAGCAGCTCTCGAAAGCGGCGACGGTTTCGCAGATCGCAGCCCCCCAAGGACGGGGAGGTCCGCTCAGGTCCGCGCGGTGCCTCACTCCGCTGGACCCACCAGCAGCCCTCGAAAGTGGCGACAATTTCGCAGATCGCAGGCCCCCTGCAGGGACGGGGAGGTCCCGCTCAGGCCCGCGCGGTGCCTCACCCCGCTGGACCCACCAGCATCCCTCGAACGTGGCGACAATTTCGCAGATCGCCTCACTTTGCTGGACCCACCAGCAGCTCTCGAAAGCGGCGACGGTTTCGCAGATCGCAGCCCCCCAAGGACGGGGAGGTCCCGCTCAGGTCCGCGCGGTGCCTCACTCCGCTGGACCCACCAGCAGCAAAATGGCCCTCCCTGCTGCCCCAGCCACCGCGCCGGACTCACCGGACTCACCGGACACGCCGGCCACCGGACACACCGGACACACCGCGGACATACCGGACACAACGGACACACCGGACACACCGGACACACCGGACACACCGGACACACCGGACACACCGGACATACCGGACCCACCAGACCCACCGGACCCACCGGACTCGCCGGACTCACCGGACTCGCAGGACCCACCGGACTCCCGGACTCACCGGACTCCCCGATCACCCGACGATTTTGATTGTACTGGTGATGCTGATTGTGTTCGTTGTGAAGGCTGCAGCGTGTACTTATGATGATGAGGATGGTTTGTACGATCGCGGTGATGACTCCGTCGACGGGGGATATGCTGATGGCGATCATTGTAACGATTTTGATTGTGA